CCGGACCGCCCAGCCTAGCCTGGGTAACTTTTCAGCGCTGACGGTGATTGTAACCCACAGCGGGTGCAGTTTTGTTTTTGCCCTGGGGCGCTGCAAAAAGAGACACCCAAAACCCTTGCCGAGTCTGCCAGGCGCCCCGCAGCCCGGCCCCCACCCAGGGGGCTGCCGCGCGGTGGAGGGACACATGGGGACGGCCCTGAAAGGACACCAGAGGATCAGAGCAGTCCCAGATGTTCGTGCCTCAGCACAGCATGGTGGGGCCATGGTGTGTGATGGGGCCGGGGCTCACAACCGTAGGAGAAGGAAACGCAGAGGGAGGAAGGGGCATCCCCCTCCTGACCGGCAGCCAGGGTCATCCGCACGGCTCTCCAGGCGCAGGCACATCCACCGGACATGTGCAGGTGGGCACCGCCAGGCACAGACGCCTGCCGGGGCACGTGGGGATGTGACCTGCGTGCCCCAGTTTGGCCCATGGACAGCACCTCTCCCTGCTCCCCACACGCATGCACACACATGCACGTGCACACGCATGCACACATATGTGTACACACACACACACACACAGAGGGGACAGCGCTCGCTCTGCCTCTGCACCGCGGGCTGACAGCCAAGAATCGCGGTGCTGGAGGAGAAAAGGTTTCTCACGCCTCCGCAAGTGGAGCTGAAGGGCAAATCGCTTTTGATGAGCCAAAACGTTCCCAATTTCCTCCCTTCGGGAAAGCAGAAGGAGGCCTTGCAATCCCCTGAACCCAATAAATACCTAGGGGGAGAGACCGCCCTTTCTCAGCCCCGCCGGAGTGAAGCCACAAAGGGTTAAATATCCCCCCCCCAAACAAGCAGAGATGCTGAAACCGCTGGGGAATTGGGAGGGAAAGGGGCAAGAAAAGGTCTGTGCAGTGCGTGGAGGGAGGAGGGGTGTGGGTGTATGAGGGGGCCCCCTCCGGGACGCGGGGGGAGCGTTGGTGGCAGCTCCTCTGTCCCTGCGGTCATGCCCACCCAGGCGGGGAGGCTGGCGGGGGCCTGGGATGGAGCCTGGGGCCTGGGATGGAGCCAGGGGAGAGTGCGCGGGGGAGATTTTGCGGCGATGTTTAATATTCAGGTCACATGACAATGGCAGCAGGAGCAGCACCAGCATCCCCGCTCCGCTGAAATAGCCACTGGAGAAGGAGGGGAAGGAGAGGGGGGGAGAAGAGGACACAGGGAGGAAAAGAGAGAGGTAAAAGCGGAGAGCCTCATAGCCCACCACACCGCGTCAGCGTCGGGCTAGAAAAGTGGGGGGAGACCCACCCCCTTGGGAGAGGATTCGGAGACAAAGGAAGCTTCATGTTCAAAGGTAGGATGCTCTGGGCTTGGCAGGGCTGGGCGATGCCAGAGGGATGCCGCTGGGGCTTTTTGTGCAGGCACCCTCCGCCGTGCCCCAACGCTGCCCAGCTCTTGCCACGGGGGAGGAATAACCCCGAAGGGCAGCGGGGGAAATCGGTCCTGGCTTTGTCTTTCCTCTTTTTTTTCCTTTCGGTGGCAGCAGTCTGGCATGAAGGAGAACGAGCGGGGCTGGTTGTGGTGCTGATGGGGAGTAGCCGGCGCCAGGGGCTGCTCTGAAAGAAAGAGATAATCTCAGCTGGTCCAGGGCTGGGGAAAGCCCACAAGCTGCTCAGCGACTGGCTTGTCCCTTGCCAGTGACAGGCAGTCACTGCGGGGGCAGCGGGGACGTCCTGTGC